TTTGTACTGAAAGGGTTAACCCTAAAATATAATCTACGTCTGCGAGGCGTATACGGAATGGGTCTTTTTTTAATTTTAACACAAAATTTACTTTTTGTTTTGTTGTTTTAAATAAATCTGGCTATACNATTACTTTTTATTGTTTTAAATAAATGTGGTTATAGTTTTTATTAATAAACCTATGTTTTATTATTAGTCAAACTCACAACTTCAATATTCTTTAAAAAAATTAACAGGACTAAGTATATTTGAGTTCACAGGTTATCTTTTAAGTACATAAGCCTCTACGGCGTATGTTAAGGCTTTACGTTACTCCCAAATAGGATAGGATTCTAGGGTTAAGAAAGCTTTAGTTTGAAAGTGTGATATTAAATGCTTTTCACCATAAACGGCGCCAATTTTCAATGATTATTGCGTTTTAGATTAAGACTAATACCAGATATTGTGAAAGGTTGGACCATACCTTAAAGATGACGGTTTTCTCATGGCCCACTGCACGAAGCTTAGAGTAGAGTAATGTCTTTTAAGAACTTAAAAATTATCCTGGGTTATCAGGTGTCTAGCAATACAAGATTAATTGTTGTCTTTCACGAAGTTCTTTAAATAAATTTTGAGCTAAGTACTCACCCGTATTTCGGGGGTTACTACTAGTTTTAATAAATTGTTAGTTTAATTTCCTATAAAATTTACCTTTAGGTTTATGCATTTTAAGAATACATCGAAAATTTGTTTTAGAGAATCAATGTGAAATAATTGCAGAAACGATTAACCGGTTTGCTGAGCAACCGAGACGTCTGATTTTTAAATAATTTTTGTAAAACAAATCGGCAAGTACATATCGTCCCCCGCATGCCAGAAACATGAATGTGTAAAGATGAAAATTTTGGGAAACTTGCAAGTTAGACGAACACCTGATATAATTTTGGTTTACATTCAAAAGTGTAAAATTTAAAACGTACGAAAACTCATCACAAAGTGGTATCTTGACACAGTTTATTGATTAAACAAATAACTACTTTCTTCTTGCAAGTTTAATTAGTCGCATTTTGTAATTTTTAACTTCCAAACCATCAAATTCAATTTTGTGTTTTCGTAAATTCAAACCAGCTGTTTTCCTGTTGGCAAATTGCTTTTGGCAAAAATTTTTCCAGCAGAAACCAGCAGCTTCCCCTCAAAATTAAATGTCACTTTGCTCTCTCAATTTCCCCTCATTTGCAAGTTTTTTGCGTACGCGAACGCAAAAACCTGAAAGTTTTGGTTAAAGCCCTGTATGCAGCTCTCAAGAAAACGGTCAAGAAAAAATTGCCATAATTTCGCGTGTGTGTCCAAGGAATTTTGACATTTTTGATACCTCACAGCCTGTTGCCTCACTCTTTCCTCAAGAAATAATGGAACGGGCATATATTTCTGTTGCAAACCTGGGTTGCCTTGTGCTCTTTTTTCACAAAAAACTTTGGAAGACCGTAGTAGAAAGCGTAGTAAATTTCTTAAGAACTGCGTACTGCCTTAAGGAAATTTGACTCAAGAAAATTTCTTAGCCATTTCTTGTACGTCATTTTATATGGAGTTTTTGCTTTCCTTGAGAGCTGCATACAGGCTTTAAACATGAACAATTAACAGCTACGCGAACGCAACTATTGTCAGAGAACTTAGATAGATAGAGAAGGTGCAAACTGAAAGTGGAAACTATTCGCGGACGAAAAATTAACAGCGTTAGAAAAGTTCAAGTCGGAATGTAAAAATTCTGTTGAATTTAATGTTGATAACATAATACAATGTTGAGCAACATGAAATGTGATGTTCTTTGTGAGCAAATAAACGAAAATATGGTAAATCTTCACATAATTTTCATTAATTTGTAATTTTTGTTAAATTTTTTATCTTGTTCTCCTTTTATGAAGATGCAAATACAATTTAAAATAATGATAGTTTGGCATAAAGTTTACACACATATGTACATGCATACATATACTGGCAATCAAAAGTGAGTGCATGGTGTTTTTTGCTTAATATTTGCAATGTTTTTCAATTAAATTTTTTTTATTATCTTTTTATAAAAATGTGGTTCATGCTTTAATTAAAACTACATAAGTCAAACTTTCAAACTTTACACAGAACATAGAAAAATTCAACGAATTCTCGTCTAAATTTTGACCTGTTTAATCTGAGTTTTTAGAAAAATTTTGAGTACGCAGATAGATCGGTTTTTTAATTCTAGTGGAACAAGATCAAGTTTTAAGCGGCTAAAAAATCCGGTTGATTTTTAATGATTATTTATTGCTGACGGCTTTTTGCACTTTTTACCAAATAAAAGTGAATTTCTTGTAGAATAAAATGCGCATGACCGTTTGCAAACAAATAAAAAAAAATTAGCGCTATTTTTTACAAATTGCACTTGCTATATGCATAAAACCGCAATTCCCGTCGAAAATAACATAAAAGTTTAACTTAAAAACATTGCAAATATTAAACAAAAAACAGGATGCACTCACTTTGCCAGTGTACATACATATTTGTGTTTAAAATTAACTACTTATGAAATAATTTTTGTGGCACGAACATATACATACTTGCGCTTTCTAAAAATGGGAATAAAAATTGGATTCGCATAAAATTTTAATTCCAATAACTAATATTTTAGTGAAAACATTTACAATAAAGCTTTCAGTAACTTTTGGCAAATTTGAGCGATTATGTGAAATTATGCATGCGTTTGTACCTACATATCCATTTATATTATTTTAAATAAAGCTAATAGTAAAATTTAAAATCGAATAAGGATATGACAATAAAAAAAAAAAAAAAAAATTTATTACTTGGTCCGTCCGGGATTTGAACCAAGACAAACGGCGAGACGCCAAAAAGTTGCATCGCCTCTAGCGTACACGCCACGGCACATTACTGAAACGGCAATCTCTAAATCACTACATATATGAAATTTTTCATTCGTCCAAGAAGACAAACGCATAAATATGTGTGCATTTATAAATGTAAATATGTGCATAAATATGTACGATTGTTCTGCTTTCGTCTTCCCCTCGCCGTCCACCAACCACAGACAAATTATTAAATTTCTGCGAATTGCCACGACGCCACCAAAATTAACCCTTGGTTGACGAAATATTTAGGTTTTCGCATAAGTTTACATTTAATAAAGCCATACTCGTACATTTTATATGGAGAAGAATATTAATTAATTTAAAATTCTGCATGTAACCATGTTCTCGACGATACATGTAACTTTCATCAAGATTAACCATAAAAATTGTGCTTCATTAACAGTTGGAACCAGCTGAAACCAAAAAAACTATGTCCGCTAAATGGGTTAAAAACCAACTGGAATTGACATTTTTTACACGCATACATGCATACATTCATATACACATGTACAGTGGAGTAGCACTAGCTTGGACATTGCATTGCTTGTACTTTGATGTGTTTGAATCTTTTATGGTACTGAAGATTTGCTTACGGATGAAAAATATTAAAAATCGTCCGTGCATATATGTAAATATACTTTTATAAACGCTTTGAAGTATAGAAATTTTTAATATTAAAAAATAAATAAAATAATTTTTTTGTATATATGTAAATGGTGTTCAAGGCACATTGACCCACCTGTACAAAAATCGTGGCGCGTCATGGACAAAAATTTTACAATTTCGGACCGAAAAATGTGAAAACGAGCTAAGTTGCCACGTTACATCTGTGAACTTCCGATAAAACCACATATGTTTGTGATTTTAGAAGTTTTGATTTTATAAAAAAAAAATTAATGTATTTTCCTGCAGAAAACGTACACTTTTATTTAATGTTTATTAAAATGACACTTTAAAATACTAGTTAATGATTGAAATATTGGTATGGAACAGAGAAATAGAGTGTTTTGTCAAAAATTACCAAAAATTGCCAAGATTCGAGATAACTTATTTTACTGGTTATAGAGAAATAATTGCCACTTTTCACTTGGCTGGCCGAGATTTCTTCATTTTAAGATTTTAGAATTTTTGTGTCGGATTGACAAAGTTGCGCTTGTTGGTGATGAATTTGCGGGGAGATGTGCTGCGGTTGTTTTTATGAATGAATTTACTTGGCCTTGAGAAATATGCGCATGCGTTTAGGAATGAAATAGTTATTGTTGTATTTGAATATGCGCGTAATTATGTATGTGTGTATGTATGCTGCCGTGAGTTGTACATATGTACATTTGTATATATGTGCGTGGTACTTAGACAGCAATATGCACGTATGTATGGATGTACTTATATATGCATGCAAAAACGTTGTCAATTAATGGAGCATGTAGTACATATAGATACATATATGTATGCGTGGGAAATGCATTTTCATTTGACTCCAAAACTATTGGGGCATATTAGTAGACGAAATAAAGTCGACTCTTAAGTTAAAGTTTGTCAGCACCAAATAAGAAGAAAGTTAGTATGTACTTACATATATGTAATATTATGTGCAGGTGCAAGAACGTTATCAATAAATGATTTTGGAGTATGTGTATGGGGTACATATTTACATATGTAAGTACATACATACATACATTCAGCTGCCATCAACAAATTATGTTTATTTATTTTTAATGATTTTCATTTAAAATATAATTCAATCTGGAACAGAAACCACAATAATAAAAGTTTAAAAGCTTGCACAAATTGCAAAAAAATTAATCAACCTTCAAGAAATGGTCATCCAAATTTTTTATTTGAATATTTAATATATTTTCGGGTATGCAGTATTGTAGTCCATTCAATTATATTATAAGAATTTGCACCTTCTCTATCTATCTAAGTTCTCTGCTATTGTGCGGTAACGAAACTGTTTTTATTATTACCTTCCTTTTATTAGCTCGGGATGTAACTATGTAATATTGATGCGCCTAAAAGATGCAGCGATTTCTATTCTCAAGTTACATACCTGATGACAGTACGAATGGCAATTATAATAGGGAGGTTTTAGTTTTTCAAACTATAATTTTATTCGTATCGATACTAAAGTGTGTTGCGTGTATATGTACGTACATGCATGCATGATTCGTGTGCGGTACAAGCAGGGATGGAATTTCAAAATTTCACAATGTGCCAAATGGTCTTCAAAAATTGTGCGGCAAAGAAAATGAAAATGCCACAAAATTAAATTTCTTTTATAATAATTATTTCTTAATATAAAAATTATTAATTAACTAAATTATAACAGTAAATCACTTTTATGAGGGATTCTTTATAAGCGGCATACACGGTGCGTCTGAATCGCGAGTCGGTTTGGATGTGTTAGCCCAAATTGTCCCAGATTAATTTTTTTTAGATTTTTTTGGTTTCACCTATATACAGGATAAAAGTAGCGTTAAAGTAAAGGAAAAAATATGACTAAAACTTTGGGAGTAGTATAGTTCTTCCGATATCGGCCGTTGCCATATGGCAACACGGGGCATATTCCAGATGGATTGTTAAAGGACAGTATTTGGTTAAAATATGAAATAATAGAAACATTGTGTATAAGTTTTAATACATTTATTGATAATATATGCATATTCTACGTGCAAAGCGGATGAAGAAGTTAATGAAAAGTAGCAAAACATTTCAAACATAAACCCACATCAAATTTTGCACAGGCTACTCGTCCTATAGTTTTACATCCCAGCACAAAGAAGTTTTTTTGTCAATTTGTATGGGTCAGTGGTGTAGTCACAAAAAGATATAAAGGCCCAGTGTGGAGACCCCCGAGGCTAGGTATTTAGCATCGAGCTGTCAATTAAAGACCACAGAAAGTATTTGTCAGTAGTCTTGGAGAGTAAGCTGCTGTGGATGCGCAATGTTGAAGGAAGAGAGAAGAAGGCCACTAACGCCCTTTATCCATGTAAAAGAATGCTGGGAGTCACTTGGGTTTTGTCACCTGCTCCGATTCGTTGGTGCTACACAGCAATAGTCAGCCCAATACTGCTCTATGGCGCTTTGGTGTGCTGGAATGCCGCACAAAAGTCCTTATGCCTCGGGCCAATGGAAAAGGTGCAGCGCCTAGCGGCACTGTGCATCGCGGGAGCGCTGAGGTCCACTTCGACGGCTGCTGCGAAATCCACACGTAGATTGACGGTCATAGGGAAACTAAATTTCAGAACTTTTGGACACCACTTAATTGGGGCGGGAAGCACAAGCAGCACAGGCTTCATGGCACCTACCTTTAAGTGGATTCGAACTTTTTGCACAACGATTGAGGAAGAGGGATGGAAATGAAACCTAGCCATAGATCCCTAAACATTTTCACGGACGGCTCTAAAATGGTTACGGGAGTGGGTGCCGGGATTTACTGCCGGGAACTGAACGCCAGGCGGACAATAAGGCTACCTGGCCATTGCAGCATATTTCAAGCAGAGGTTTTCGCAATGAGGATAACTACAGAGCTAGCCTTCACCGAAACGACAATCAATCAAACTTAAACCTATTCCTCGCGGCAATTAAGGCAGTTTCCTGATATAGTATTTCATCCATAAACGTCTCTCGCAGCCGGGAAGCCATTGACAAGCTGATAAAAGGCTACATATCTATGGGTTGCCCGGTCACAAGGGAATCTAGGATAATGAAGTAGCAGATGAGAATGCAAAAAACGCCACCAGTTTTCCCTGGAACAGGCAAACTACACTTGTATAACATTTCAACACTTGGACAATGAAATGTACTATAATATGATTAGGCAGTTCAGAGCTAGATGGAAAGAGTTAACCACCTGCAAAACTGCAAAAATACATACAAATGATATTTGTTTACACCGTCTCATACATGATGGTATTTTGCGTTGCCATATGGCAACACGGGGTCAATTTGGGCTAGCGAACATATCAAAATTTGGTAAAAAGAGGAACAGTTCACATTACACCTGTTGCCATATGGCAACGGACTTAAAAACACTTAAATTATATAGCATGCACGATTGTTTTTTATTGTTACTTGTTACCAATAGATTCACTAATGTCTTAACTAATATTTTGTCACTATCATTTTTTGTAAATAAGAAAACGCTTTCTATAAATTCATGCTTATGTACTTCTTCATATATGACATTTTGATGGTTTTTTGTCACTTCTAATTTTGTTTAAAGAAACTCGAGCAAAAATTGAGATATCTCAACGAAATTTGGTATGCAGGTTTCCGTTAATCCAAGGTAGGTTGGTATTGAAAATGGGCGAAATCGGACTGTAACCACGCCCACTTCCCATATAACGGTAGTTTCCAGAAATACGAAAACTGCGATATTTTAGTAACTACTGAAGATTATTCACTCAAAATTGATATTTACAACAATTTTTAGACGAAAAAATAGGAAAATTATAAATTTTTGGGCGCAGCCACGCCCACTTATGGTTACATGTGTATATCTTGGTAACCGCTGCACCAATTTCTCGCAAACTTGGCACAATTGTTGGCCTTGGTACAGCATACTAAATGGCTGAAAATTTAAAAAATCGGACAATAACCACGCCCACATCTCATATAACGGTAATTTAGAGAAATACAAAATCTTCGATAGATCAGTAAATATTAAAGCTAATTTATTTAAAATTGATGCTTGCAACAATCCTTTACCAAGAAATACGTTTCTGGTAAAATTTTGGAAGATGGGCGTGGCACCGCCCACATATATGTATATCGGTAACCGTTGTACCAATTTGTACCAAACTCGGTATTTTTATTGTACTTGCCACATAAAAGCAAAATGTTGAAAATTATTGAAATCGGACTAAAATTACGGCCGCTTTTCATATAATGGTAAATTTCAGAAATGCTTGAAACTGCAATATTTCGAAATTTAAGGACGCTAATTTACTCAAAATTGATACACCCCGGCTTACCATCTAGCGGTAGCTTTCGGAAAGGTGAAAAAACATACATTTAATACTTGCTCCGGGTATTTAATGTTCGGCTCCATCCGAACTTAGACTTTCTTAGTTGTTTTTTAATTGATTTTAAATAAAAGTCTAATTCATAATTTAATAAACACAATAAAGGTACACAAATCTGCATGAGCGTAGCCAGGTAGGGGCAGGGGGGTGCTCGAGCCTCCCCCCTAACTTTCAAATTTTCTTTATATATATAAAATAGTACCCTGAAATGCCAGCTTAATAGGGTCGAGCCCCTCCCCCCCTAAAATTTCATTCTGGCTACGCCGATGCAAATCGGCATTTCAAACTTTGTACAAAAGTTATAATAATTCAGCAGGTTTTCGCAACAAAATACTTTGAATTCAGAATTTTTAGAGAGATTCCAAGTTTTCGATGTAATGCTTTTTTTTCATATATAGTGTGTTCGAATTTTTTTTTAATGGATCAAAATGTATGACACCGTCAGAAAAAAATATCAAAAATCATCGGGATATTGCAGAAACTGGCACTTTCATTTAATAAACTGTAAAACTGCGAACCTAGAACCTTTCCAAAAATTATGAATTAAAAGCTTGTTGTGGCGAAAATTTACTTTTCGTACTGCATATTCACAACAGAATTCAGCGGTTTGCAAATAATTCTCACAGCCCTTATTTTAATTTGTAAGTGCTTTTAATTTTCACTTTTTGTAATTTTTTAATCTATAATGTGGTATGTAATTTTTTGTTATATATTGGCATTTTATGCTAAACTTCTAGATTTTATGATTATGCCAAAACAAGATGAATTGTGCCAAAAGTGCCTCTGATAATGAAAGGGCCAAAAATGGCACTATTGGGCACACTTTTCCATCACTGGGTACAAGTGCTTGCTTGTATCAAATTGTTCGAATCGATACAAAAATATGTTGCGTGTATACATATGTATATATGTATGTATGTATGTATGTACATTAGACTGCATCACCAAAAGAAGTTGCGGTTTTTCCGCCGGGATTACAAAATTTATTATATTTTAAGACGTCTACCAAAATATTTCGGAAAAATATTAAGATTTAAGCGAGCTGGACCGATTTGAAAATACCTCCAAAAATGAAGTTTTTTATGATTAAAAATAGTTTCTTAAAGAACTTTTTGAAAAAAGTCCCCTCAGATGACAAATTAGGTTAAGCTTAAAAAATCTGCATAACAATATTTGAAAATCATTTCAACGAAATCGTAAGAATGAGATTTTTGATGCTTTTTTTTTTTTTTTTTTGTATATTGTACATGTATGTATGCATATGGACGAGCAAACATTTCCTTACGCTGCAAGATTTGTTGCGATGATTCTTGAGAGGCACAAGTGCTTGTATCAAAAGTAACGAGTAAAGTAACGATACGAAAGATACGGGTGTTGATTGGATTAGTAACGAATACATACGGGTATCCGAAATTTCGTTACTTTTACAGCTCTACTGCAGGATGATGCACACAATCAAATTCGGCCGCAGCTGCAGTTCAGCGGAGAATGCTGCATATGGAATGGTTCATCAATAAAGTCAAAATAATATGTTGTAACTTACGTGTATTAGCTCTTAATTACAATACCAGCACAGGTCGGCTAGGAAAACACTAAGGAAATGACCTAATAAATGCAAAATTATAATTTATTTGTAAAATAATTCAATTTTATTACAATACTTACCAAATTTCACGCAATTAGAAAACAAATGTCAGCGAATAAGAACAAAACGAACAACGAAAATTGAATCAATGTAGCTTGTTTAGAATTTTTTTCTAATATTTTGGGAAATGTTCAGTGAAATTAGCAAAGAAACAACACAGTTTCTCCTGAGGTAGTTAAAGATGGCGGATTAGAGCGAGAAGTTGCCAACGTATAACACCTTTCATTATTGCATCATGAGTTTATATTTACTTAAATTTTTTTTATTCAAAATTCGTCAAATGTACTATGAAAAACATTTTATGGCAGCATTTTGTTCAAACTCCACGACGTTGTTGCTATGGTTAATGGTAACTAATGTGTAAACGAATTTTTTTTTCTAATGCGGTTTTTTGTTGAATTATGCGACTTTAAACATGCAAATTTCAGCCCTTTTTCTTAGTCACAAGTTTTCTTAAAATTCTTATCTCACGTCACACTTATGATACAGAAAAAAAATTGCTGGCAAATTAGAACTTTTTCAGTGCTTTTTGGTGGAAACTATAATTTTTTGATTTTTTTTTCTTTACAGTGTACTATTTCTGTTTTTTTCGCAAATGGCTTATATCGATGGCTTATTTTTCTAAGCTTTCCAATGATATAATTTGTATTTGGCGCTGCAAAAGTACTACAAGGTTTTCATCATAGAACGCACTCGCGTCCGCCTTACATTTTTGCCGCCAATAACCAGAGCTCTAAAAATTTGCAATACATTTTTTTGCAATCAATGATTGTCTACTAATACGATTACAATCAAAATTGATTACTTTTTCTGATTGTAAAAACTACAATCAATTTAATTGTAAGCACATTTGATTGCAATGATTTTGATTGCAATCAAATCACTAATTCAATCAAACATTTTAATTGCAATCCCAAAAATGCAATAATTTATCCTTTTTTTTTAATAAAGAAAATATTTAGCTTTCTTCTGTCACTACGTATCGTTGTGAAACATGGGTTTCTGCTTACACTTATACAAAAAACAAATTCAGGTCGAAATTGGGTGCTACTCCAGAAATGCGCATACAGCTTTCAGACATAATATCGAACTATAGTATAAAGAAATATTTAATAACAATTTCTTTTTTAATATTAACATTTAAAGTCTGTATACTATTTCTAGTAATAGTTTTTATTCATTTGTCAATTTTATTGTGGCTTATTAACATTTTTATTTTAATATTTTTATTGAGCTTTGTACTACGATTTCGTTTATAAGGGAAAATTGAAAAAGCAAAAAAGTCTATGTCGGAGATCACCACATCTCCTCATCAGCATTCTTTTTTCTAGACTTCAGCAGGGATCGAACCCGCATCATCGATATGCAAAGTCAGAAGCGCTAACCACTGAGCTATGCACACCACGTAAGCTGTTGTTGCTAATTCATTCCCTTATTCAACTTACTATCATCAAGTGCAGCTGATTTGCCGTTATTTAAATTTGACAGCGCCCAGCAAAAAATCGGTAATCGCTTTTAGTGGTAATGTGTTCTAGAAGGCATAGCGTTATAATGCCTTCGAATTTTTTCGCTTCTTTTAGGCATGGCGGGTAATGCAAAGTAGAATGTCCTATAATATTTTATTTATTTCGCTTCTTTGTTTAATTTCCGGGAATGCAAAGTAGAATCTCCTATAATATTTTTTTTATTTCGCTTCTTGCTTCGTTTCGCNGAAGGCATAGCGTTATAATGCCTTCGAATTTTTTCGCTTCTTTTAGGCATGGCGGGTAATGCAAAGTAGAATGTCCTATAATATTTTATTTATTTCGCTTCTTTGTTTAATTTCCGGGAATGCAAAGTAGAATCTCCTATAATATTTTTTTTATTTCGCTTCTTGCTTCGTTTCGCGGAATGCAAAGTAGAATGTCCTACAATATTTTATTTGTTTCGCTTCTTTGCTTCATTTCAGGGAATGCAAAGTAGAATGTCCTACAATATTTTTTTTATTTCGCTTCTTTGCTTCATATCGGGGAATGCAAAGTAGAATGCTGCATCGTAGCCAGCTGAAAAATAGAATAAATTTCCAAAACTTCCTTTTCTACCGTTACTTTCTGTGAAAATTTGTCTCGCATATAAATCATGTTTTGCTTTGTTCAATTTGCATCGAAGTTGAAGTCAATCAATGAAGTGAAGTACAAGAGTGAGGAAGTACAATTTTAAGCCTAATTAAATATGCATGTATGTACATACCGATTTTTAAGTAAAATCTAAATACCTAAATACATATACAGTATATTTTGCTTAGCTGCACATCCTTCTCTGCACGAAAAACTTGTGCACTTAACCGAAAAAGGCACTTCAGCGAATTTTCTTTACTACTTCAATGAGGAAGGTATCCAAATCCCTATGAAACCAAATAATGGAGAAGCACTTACCGCGTAGAAATTACTGCAAGCGAAACTTTTACCAAATAGTATCTAATTATCTATATAACTACATAAATTGACAGCCATTTTCGTTGTTCCGCGAGATGAGCAAAATAAATAAAAGAGTGTAAAATTAGGTAATTGTAGGGTCAGTGCAGGTAAACGTAATACTTTCTTTGATAATTGATACTAGTTGCACAATTTTTAAGGCAGGTATCGCCAATGTGCAGGTATGTTGAATGCATCTATCGAAGCAGTTTCCTTATAAATGTTTAAAATAATGCCTCTGATGCACATTTCGGCGTAGGTATCTTAAATGTGCACTTAAGTATAAAGGCAGCAAAGCAAAATATACTGTATATGTATGTATAAAAACCGACTTATAAAAATTTTAATTAATTTTAATCTTTTAAGACATTTTCTGGTTTCAATTTAATATAAATAAGTATGTACTTATCTAGGCATTCTACATTAGTTTCTCTGTAAGGCATTCTTTGTTCGCTTCTCCGGATTCTGTTAATCCATGCGTTCTCCCTTCATTCGAAGGTAATGCTGCGGGTAAGGGCTTACGGGCAGTGACATGCCCCTGTTAAAATAATGCCTTCTTGAAGCGAAAGGGTAAGCGATTCCCATCCCTTAGCTCGTTTCCACTTTCGTTTCTGTTGTAATCGTGTTTTTTGCTGGGCGTGGTTGTTATTGTAAATTCTATACATTAATTTTGCTTTTTCTTTATTGTATGTATAGTTTCAGGCAGGCTCATCGTAAATTAAGTATTTGCCAATTTTATTGTGGCTTAATAACATTTTTATTTTAATATTTTTATTGAGCTTTGTACCACGATTTTGTTTATTAGGGAAAATTTAAAGGGGTGCTCGTCTGCCTCACCATCGTACTTGTAATTATGCATTAAAATAAATTCCATTTAAAAACTTATGAAAAGTGTTGATTAAGACAGATTGCAATTACCAATTTTTATGCAATTAATGATTGCAATCAAAATTTAATTGCAATAAAAAAGATATTGCAATTAATTTCTTCGAAATTATTGCAAATTTTAACTTTTGCAATCAAAATATGAGCAATTAATGTTAATTACAATTAAAACAGATTGCAATATTATGTAAAATTTGCGATTGCAATCCAATTTGATTGCAATTTTTACAGCCCTGGTACGCGGTAAAGGCTGACTTGTAGACGGTCCGGTCACCTGTTGACCTAAGTTTCCCGGGAAAATATTTCCACCAAGGGACATCCCTTCGCGACTTCTTGGTAATCAGTAAGCAGCTCCCTTCCAAAGCTTGTTTAAAGATGTCAAGTTCATAAACGAATTTATGTACAGGCGGAAGAGTTCCCAGTTTGTTTTTCTGGGATTTCTGAAAACACAGTTTGTTACTATTTGGGATTCTATATCTAATCAAATGTGTCGGTGGTCTGAAATATAAACCTCATTTGTGACATGCCAGTTTGAGATAAAGGTCGACAAGCGAGTTGAGGATATTGTCAAATCTAGAACCTCCCTTCTGTAGCAGTGACAAGAGTTAGTTAGTTTCCCCGGTTAAGAATAAATAAGTTGTTTTTGGCCAAAATTACAAGAAATGACTCACCTTTAAAATTGGAGTCCGAGCTGCCCCACACGCTGTGATGGGCGTTGGCATCGTAGATCATGAGTAATTTCAGCTTCCTCTTTCGGCAGCACTCCTCTAGGGCTATTACTTCCCTTGTGGGCATCCCGCAGCTTTCGCATGAGAGGTAAGTTGAAGCGAGAACGACCTCATGTTACCAAAGTTTAGTGGGCCATACAGCAGCTAAGTCCTATTACGTCAACTCTGAAATACGAACGAAAGTCATGGTATTAATTAGTAATATGGCCGCTCTGGGCCTGCAATATGTGGTGCCATAAATTACCTTAACATCACAATCGTTAAGTCTTTAGCAGCTGCGGCGAAAACCCATGGTTCTTGGATGGATGCCACATAAAAGTGTTTTGTTTTGAACCTCCTGCATAAAACATTCGAGGCCGCCTTTGCATGATGGAGGTTTATTTGCAGGCACTTGATGTGCCTAGGCCTATATCTTTGGGGGTAGCAATTTTTCGGCTTTGAAGCCCGTCTGGCCATCTTTTTTACCCTATTGGTGGCCATTACCAGCCGTCTTCACGTGCTAGAAAATCTCGCTTTCGTGACAAGGCATGCGACATCCCGCACATGTCGACCGCAAAAAGTACGTTGTTTGACAGGTATTTTCTTATTTCGCAGAATTCTTCAGAGTAGAAACATCGTTTATTTTGGTGAAAAATACAAATTTAGCCTGCAAAGCTCGAACCTTCTTTTTTGGCGACATTTTACAAATGAATAATTAAGCTGTCAAATGCCCAGTCAACAAAACTCTATCTCGATTGCGAGAGAAAAAAGTAGAACGCAGGCGAGATTTTCCAGCATGTGAAGACGGCCGGTTAGAGCCTTCTCCTCCATCGAAACCTCCCTTCGACCTTGTCTCCGATTCGAATTTAGCGGAGGACAGAAGGGACTTTGTGCCAAAGGGGCCTTTGGTTTCTTAGGACTGGAAAGGACCGTGCCAGGAGTGTCTTTTGATCAGCAGGGTCTCTCTATAGGCTCCGAAACAGGGGAATCTAATTCCTTTGCTACTACTGACTGCTCTGCAGGTACACTTTTCAGTGCCGTGAGTACATCTTTCGAGCTCCAAGCTTACTCTTCGATGCTAACCCTTTGCGTAGTAGAGGAAACCATACTGGCTCTAGCAGGTGCGCCACCCTTCGGGTCTGACGACTCAGTCGTCTTCCCTTTTTTAAAGATACGCATCCTGCCATATCCATAGCTGACTAAGTATCCCAGCCTGTCAAGTGTCTTCGCTGAGTCAGGGTCGATCGCTAAAGTGAGCTCAGTGGTAGGACCTTTCTGCACCCTGTTGAGCAGCGTTTAGCTACCGACCCGCAGTCCTTCGTTCTGGCCCTCAACAAGTCCAAGATTACTGTTCACTGCAGTAACTATTGGATCCAGTAAGTACTCGGCATAGACCCTGGGTTTGGGCACATCAGTGGCATTAAAGTTTCAGAGTTGCTTACGAGCGGTTCCTCGTTATTTTTCTGTGGGTCAGTAACGCCAGTTCGGCCTTTCCTTTTGTCATCGCTAGCCATTTGGAGAGGTATAATATGTAGCGCTTTTAACCTGCAAGTTTTCTGTTAGGATTACTAGCCTCCTCTGGCTGTGATGATAAGAGTGCTTCCTAATAATCTGTTGGCAATACCGACATCCATGGCCACCGGGTTGCTGAGAAGACCGTTTGGACGAAAGCCCATTTCGTCCATTACAGCATCGCGAGAGGGTTGATCGCCTTGAACATTTGTTCAACTATCCCGTTGGGCATCGAGTGCACCTCTGACAGTGTCGACCGTTGCTCACTGTTAGAAGGCACATAGATTTGCTTGTGTTTTTTTTTTAAGTGTTTCTTCTATAGAATCCCACGGGTAAGGGGTAAGAGAGAGGTCATACGAGGCAGAGCCACGGTACCCCGGACATACTAAATAAAACCAGACGGCGTCACGTGACTTGAGTGCACCATCAAAATACACACTAACGTAGGGCCATTCAGTCCGCAGGCAGGGTACTATTAACACCTCGACTTACAGATCTTATCGAGTTCTTCTGTCTAGAGATATGTAGTTACTTCTATAATATTTATCTTAGCGCTACTTCTTATTAACGTTGACTTCGATATTACTCACGTTTTTCTAATTTACTTAGTTTCTTTATGGTTATTTTTTAACTAATACTATAGGTTTTTTTAGTAAAAATGCAACTCTAAACTTCTAACATACTTACCTAGATATGAAAAACGGTAACGTAATTATTGGAAGGGAAAAAACGTTACGTTTCGAAGGCGTGTGCAATCAAAGCTGGTAGAGCATGCTATCATACAAAGAAATGTTTTCGTTCAAAACTAATGAACACAAGATCTTAATCAGACAAAGTCTAACATACGCATGTCAAATATGGTTAAAATCGTATACATATGAAACGAATCAGAAAATTAGGCCAGAGGATATTAAGAGTACGCACATCTTTGCATAGAACACCGAGCATAAACTTTTTAACCCGTAATGGTCACGCCTCCAAAAAATAGCGTAGTGGTCACACGGTGTCCTTGGAACCCAAGCTAATAAACAGATACCATGTACGTTCCATTTTATGTATCGACTCGTATCCTACACCATTAGCGCACACAAGGGGTGGGTTTTGGGGTTCAAATCCCCCCTAAAGCTAATAACTGCCAAATACAAATTGTATCTTAAAGCTTACAGCTCTCAAGAAAAATCACAAGAAATATGTTTTATTATTTCTGTTACTTGCAAAGGCACTTTGCTTTTGCTGTAAATTTTCTTGAAGAAATAAATATACAAGCAAATTTTTTTTAAGAGCTGCAAAGTGATTTAAGAAATTTTGATAGAAGAATATTTATTTTCCATTTCTTGTGCGCAATTTTATATGAATTTTTCGTTTTTCTTGAGAACTCTTTAAAGCTTAACTGCGAATGAAAACATTGTCCTAAAAATATGCAATGCATACCAACTTAGGCACTTCGCACATTAAGCGCCTTATCATAGCATGATTCAATAATAAAAGGTTTGCTCAACAACAGTTTTCTCGCTCCCTCTTGACAAAATCGGCTCCCTTAGCAAGGCACTGTGTGTGGGTTCGTGTGTGTTTGAAAAGCTTTTGTAAGGGAGCTAAGGGAGAGTCAAAACTCTAATGTCACTAATGAGCAAACCTTTAATTATTGAATCATGTTATCGTAGTAGTGTAATCGTTTCGGCATACTAAGGTTTGAAGCTTTCATGCCGAACTCATGCATTTCAATGAAGCTCTGTACATTACGATTCATAATCTTGTTTTCGCCTTATCATAAAAACTTCATGAATCGAAGCGCCCAACATTGTAAGCATTGTATAGGCATATAAGTATGCAAAGCGCCATTTTGTTTGTTTACATTTGAAAACAGCTGAGATCACCTGATTTTCAATTCTCTCATTCTCCGCACAGAGTTACATTCAAGTTTCAGAAAAAACTTTAAAATGTAAATTGAGAAATATTTTAGAAAAATGTGTTTTTATTCATTTGAATTGATTAAATACGAAATTAAAAATGCATGCCAAGTCTTGCATTTTCAATAATAACGACAAATGTGTATGTTCCAGGCAATAATTTAAAATATTTGTGAAACTTATCGTTTTGCGCTAAAATACAACAATGTGTGTAAAATTCGTTGTCATTGTTTCTGTTTTGAATACCATATTCGTGAATGCCGGTGGAAAAAATTGGTAAATGTGCATCTATTTTTAAGAAAACATATAAATTAAAATATATTTCTTTCCAGAGCGACATACGGACAAGTAAGGTGATAAATTTGTATGATGAATAACGCGGAAAATCTTATGCATCAAAATTTCTATTCTAATTTGCATTTGAATTATGATATCAACAGGGATGCTTTGGGACGTGTGTTTTGAAGACAATTTTCTTATAAATCTTGAGATTGTTGATTTATTTTAGAATTAAAACAGGTAGTTTATATTAAAAAATATATTTAGACTAGCAGTATGTACTTTTATTACGAATTGAAACGATTTTAATGAATGTTCATGGTTACCATTAATAGTAGTATGACAGTTAGATCTAAGTGCATATTTGACAAGAAAGATAGAATACAAGATTGCGCCGTCCTGGCGGCGATGACCTATCTGTACAAAAAGTAATCAAAGTCGAATTGGATGTTGAAAGAAAATGTGACAACAGCAAATTTTCTTAATAATAAATTCTTCGATAAAGAACGTGTTTTAATTGTGCTAATTTCTAATAGCCTTATTCATAAACAATAAAGTAGCTTAAAAAAAGGTTTATAAATTGAAAAATGTTTGCAAACGGCAATTTAAAAAGCCTTTTAAAACTTTTATTTTTTATGAATAAGGCGATAAAAATATATGATTTAAAATAACTTTTAACAAGGAAAACACAAAAAAGGTGATTTTCGCGGAAGTAGGCATTAGTGAATTGCAGTGCATTTAAAGTTTCTGAGGTTTCGTTAACATTTTAACCGACTTCCAAAACAGGAGGAGGTTATCAGTTCGTCGGAATATATATTTTTTTTTTATGTATGTTACCGCATAACTTTGGACCACGTCAACCGATAATTCTTTTAGCATCGGAAAGGTAGTGTCTCAGAGGTGGTCCCATACTAATCTGCTTAAGATCCGATCAGTGCATCATGAGATATATATATATATTTTTTTTTTATATGAGAGTTGAAGTCGGGTTTTTTTGCTAAAAATTACTTGTAGATCAGAATTGTCAAACTTGAGAAATTCAAAGTAGCAGTACGATAATAATTATGATTATAATCATAGAAAAGACCCAGCAAACAATTAGGTTTGATATACATTTGAGAATGATTTGAAATCAAAGCCTTTATCAAATGTCAAACGTTTGAAAGTGATTTGATATTGATTTGAAAATTACAGCTTTCTCAATAAAAAGGGGAGTTTGATCTCCATTTGATAATATGGTTAACTCTCAAATCAATTTCAAAGGTTATTTATCAAATGTACTTCAAATGTGGAAATAAAATTTATAATAGGAAATGTGTATTTTATTTTTCATTTATTTTTTCTTCGCCATGTACATATGTATGTACATAACAAAAGAAACAACTGAAATAAAGTAATTTATAATAAATTTGTCTTGAAGGGCTGCAGCTTTTTCAATTTGTGGGCTTTCTCTTTGAAATTTTTTCTATTCATTGCTTTTTTTTCAATTGATCTTAATTTTATTCTTACAATTTTTGATTTAACTGCGCATTTTTATAACGTTTGATACTTGACATCTTTCTTCAAATCAACCTCAAATGAATTTCAAAAGTAAAATTTAAACCTCGTTTTCAATTTGAGAATCATTTGAGAAAAACATTTGATATCAAATTGAGAAATACATTTTTCTCAAACGTTTGAAACTGTGTTCGCTGGGGAAGATTGCGCCCTGAATGTGTATATTTTTTGGTTTCGGTTTGACAGCCAACTGCTGTGATGATGTGGAAATTTACCAAAATAAAGAAGAATATAACAATTAAGTGAAAAATTTTGATTTTTACAAATTTAGTGAGCATTTTTATTCTCAAACAACAACAATTGTGAACAATTTCATGTTTTTATTTTCAATTTTATATGATTTTAAAATGTTTGCAAACGTCAGAAAAATATCATGGCCGACGAATTGAGAGAATGGTTTTGCTTTCTAATGTTTTTATCACGATTTGTACTGGGTGTAATTGAAACTCAGTCAAATGAGTATTAAGGAAAAGAAAAATTTGAGAATAATAAACAAATAAGAGATGGGTGCACAAAAAGTTAAGTTAAATGTTATACCAAAACTCTTAAAAAGTATACAAATCTATTTTTTTTTTTGTTACTGTATAGAACTCTGTAAATCTATTTTATTTTTTATGAATAAGGCCATAAGCATAAATCGTTTTTATAAATAAATCTTATAATGCTATATATTAATTTATACACTTTTTGGCTGGCGAAATATTTAGTTTCTTCAACTTAATAAAAAAGCGTATTTAACCACATCAAAATTTTTTTAATATTGAATGGCGCAACACAACAACTCTTTTTGTTGCACGAAACCCTTCAACACGTGCCTGTCATCCATTTCTTCTGTTTCGACATTTCGCTATTTTGCATTTCTTTCATTTTGACGTCATTCTCATTGTCAGATTTTTGAAATTCGTTTTGGTTCGACATTCTGCTATTTCATAATTCTTTCATTCTCATGTCATCCATCTTCCATTTCTTACCTTCCATTGCCGTTCGCATCATCGAACGTGCCTGTCAAACACTGCCGTCATCATGCTTTCCAGTTTGGCAGGCACGTCCGCTGGTTGGCAGGCACGTCCGCTGTTTGGCAGGCACGTCCGCTGTTAGAAAGACAATAGACAAAAAGGGGCATAGGATTACATACTTGTAAGTATATACGATGATTGCATGATTCAGTAATAGAAAGGTTTTGTAATAAAACAGTCTTCTCGCTCCCACGCATAAAATCGGCTCCTTTACTTGTGCAGAATGTTGCACACTCTACAGTTTCTAGTTATATTAGTAGTAAAACCAAAAATTCTTCATACTAAATATTCGTTGGGATCAGCTTCGTTAGCGTAAATTTCTGGAACAAGTCTAGAATAGCGACCGTGTAGCTATGAAATAACCAAAAGTGCCGATTGATAGAACTTTATACGCTGATTTCAACGATACCAAATTTATTTGGCGCAGGTAATAAACAAAGAAGATATAAGAGGTTTATTTGCTTTGTTTACTTATATTTTTATACCCGAGCGCACTTGTGCACAAGGGTATATTAATTTTGTTCACATAACGGTTGTTTGTAACAGCCAAAACGAATCGAGATAGATATAGACAAATGTATACATNGTCTGCCCGTCCGTCTGTCCGTCTGTCCGTCCGTCCGTGTACACGATCACTCGAGCAAAAATTGAGATATCTCAACGAAATTTAGTACGTAGGTTTCTATTAATCCAAGGTAGGTTGGTATTAAAAATGGGCGAAATCGGATTGTAACCACGCCCACTTCCCATATAACGGT